GGGGGGGGGGGGGGGGGGGGGGGTGGCCTGCACCGAAAAAATTATCCAGGTCCAATCGACCGTCTTGTAGCAAGACGGCCAAATGTAGCAAGACGCCCAAATTATTTTTTTGGCTCAGAAAAGGACCCCCCCCCCAAATCCAATCCGGAAATAATCACGCCGTAAGACTCAGCCTGAGCTGGGAAAAGTAGAAGAAAAGAGCAGGGAGATGTTTGAGGTACGGAATAGAGAGGAAAGGACGGTAGCTGTACTGGGGCATAGGAGGCGGGTTGAAAGGGCAGGAAGGGATATCGGTAGGATTGACAGACTAGGGAAGACATTTTTGAGCCACCTTTGGCAAAGTNTACCCAAATCATAACCTCTGCCGCAACATCCCTCCCTGCTCCCCTCCTTTCACAAACGGCCAGTTCAAGCCATGGAAAGCGAAGTGCCTTCCGCGAAGTGATGGAGCACGGCAGTACCTTCTATTTCGACTTCCTACAATGACTGCTACTGCCGTTTCACGTACCGCGGGTGTATGCATACAAAACCAACGGAGTACAAACACTAAAAACGACAACCGATACGTAAAACCGACGCACCCACGCAGTCGAAGAGAAATCAAACACCTCTTGCCGCTTGTCCATCTTGCACAAAGACTGGTGCGTCGCACGTTCTAATTGTGCCTCTGGCGCAAATTTGGAAACGCGCACTACCACGCCCTACAATATCAGTCCCCACGATATACTTGTCAAAACTTTCTGCGCTGCGGGCTCAAAACACCAAGCTGCGTGCCCCAAACCTAACCCCACCCGCCGTCTCCGGCTCGCTGCCCGTTACAGGAGACTTACTAGTAGTTGTATTCTCGTCGTCAAATCTGAATGTCCGGGCTGAAGACAAGATTCGGGGGTTCCGCAGAAGAACCCCACCCCCCCTTCCAACTTGCCACCGCGACCGAGCTTCAGACCATGGGTAGAAAAGAGATTGCACAACAGTCTCCTCGTAACAAAGCCTACAGAATGCTACCCCCGACGCGGTACATTCCGCAAACCTACCCTACCGAAGGCGCGTATTTTGCGGGAAAAAACGTGGAAAGTGCACATGGGTCGTCGCCTAATGGCTTCGTGCAGCGCATGACCCAGACACTGCTAGTCAGCCAAGCAGCAAAACACATCAACAATGGTGCCGCTGCTGCTGCTTCTGCTGCTTTCCCTCTACGCTGCAACTGCTGCTTTGTCAGACACGCTCTGCTGCCCGTCCAAGGCACCGCTCTTGAGCATCTGCTCGATCCGCTCGGCCTCTTCGTACCTGTCGAGCAAGGACACAAAAGGAAAACAAAAAAATGTTTCAAAGTGCACTGTACAGGCTTGAATAGACTCCAAAAGAGCCCAGTATCTAGCCGGTGGTTTTCCAATCCCCCTCGACCGTGGTATGTTCCCGAACGGGTATGCAAGGTATTTCCGTGATCGGATGTGCATTTTCTCAAAAGATGGCACACAGGTATATCATACACGTGTCTTCGCAGACCTACCAGGAACAACAGAGCAAAACGCAGGGGCAACAAGGGGTGTGCATTGCTTGACCGTCAAAAGAGCAGAGAGCAGCAACAATAAAACAGAGGTCTAGAGAGGGGGGTCATGATCAAGTCTTTGATGACCTCGTCGCTTTGCCAAATACACTCCGACTGACAATTGTTGACTACTCGTGTGGCGAAAGGGACAACAAGTTTCATGCAACGGCCTCGGCGATCTTTGAATCCGTGCTTTGGGGTTAGGGTAAGGTTTAGGGATAGGGTCTCCGTGCCCCCTCCCTATTATTTTTCTAGAAACTCTAAACATCCTGCGTAGGCGGTCCTAATCAAAGAACAATCCGACTTAGTTGTTCCACCCTTGCCAAGACGTTCCATCCGCCCTTTACAGTCTCCCCAACAGAGGGGCCACGCCTTTACTCGAGACCGTGCTTACCCATACTGCACGCAGTCTCCAAAGGCCACTCCAGTGATGTAGTTTCCCCCCATGCGAAGCCCCGGCGCGGCCTTGAGTCCCTCTTGCAGCTCCTCCAGGATGGCCAGGTGGCCCCTTTGGTACCTGCCGCCGGTGTTTGCAGCACCAACCAGAGCAGGGAGCGGTGAAGAGCCGAGCATGACGGCACATTTCTAGGGGATGGGCAGCTTATTGTCGTGTGACTCCAATGACGACAGCAGCAGCAGCAGCAGCAGCAGAGGTACTCAAACAACAACAACAACATCAACATCAACATCAACATCAACAACAACAACAACAACAACAACATCAACAACAAAGACATCAGCAACGGCAACAACAACAACAACAACAACAACAACAACAACAACAACATCAGCAATGGCAACAACATCACCACCAACAACATCAACAACATCAACAGCAGCAACGACGCCCAGCTGGAAAGCGGACGGATGTTCCGAGGGGGGGTCTACAGATAGGACCGAGCGCATGTGGTGCACGCTTGCGGCAGCGGTTTTCGGTCATCAGCCGCAGCCGCGCAATTCAACCGAAAACAACGGTGCCGGCATTGCACCGCACTACCTTTGTCATCGCTGACATCGAATTCTCGATTCCAACAAAAAAAAACAAAGCACCCTGTGTATAACATGAACGCGTATATTTGCAAGGAAGATGGCGAAACTTCAACCCGAATCCTAGAAGTAGCAATGAACACAAAATCCCCCCTCTTGATGTTCATCCAACCGCAAAAATGTACCAGTAGAACTCGGAGCACGGAAATGTTGGAGTTCAGCGACGATGAAGAGAAATATACCCTATAGGTCGTGAGACGAGCAGACAAGCTCACTGTCGTGTGGGACGACATTTTCCCACAACACCAAGCAGCAGCTATACACTGCGCGTCCGCAACAACGAAGCATGGTGTGCATCATGCCTTCAATCTTGCAAAACACGCCGACAAATATATCCCTGAATAGCAAAATAAAAGTAGCAACGGCTTGTGTCGTCGGGATTTTCGCCTTCAAGACGAACGAGAAAAAAAGGTCGCTACTTTCCAACAACAAGAATGGAAAACCCGTTTCACATGGTGGGGACCATATTTACTGGTGTGGGAAGGCTAGG